GTCTATGCTGATAGTGATCAACTCGTCTTGAATTATCACATTGACTTCTTCCATCGCTGTGATATTGTGCGGATTTATTATCCATTGAGTAATTTGTAAATTTAAGAGATCCTCAAACCTCTTAGTAAAATCTTTGTGTAATGCGTCCAAGTGAGTGACATATGATAAAATAACATCGCCTTGAAGCATTTCTGGTAATTTTGACAAATGCGGAAACTGTGAATATTCTTTTCTGCTTAAATTTTGTTTATAGAGGATAAATTTAACCACGAAGGCCGATATTATTAATTTTGTTTTAATAAAGTTGAGATCATCACCATGCAGCTGCAAATTAACTTATTATACCAAATTATACTAAAGATATCAGTCAAGTAATAAATATCTCTTTTACAATTGTTCAGATTTTCTTTCAAATTCGGATCTTTTTCTTGTAAAAACTTCAACACAGATTCAAAAATAGCTGAAAATCTTGCTAAGCAGGAGCGTCTTAATAGCCAGTGAACTTCAGTGTGCAAAAGTAACCGAGTAAAGACTTCAAAAGTAACCGAGTAAAGACTTCGTTGTTTTCCTCACATAGCTGAGCAAATAACCGAGAGTTCAGAGAATTGCTCGAATCTTGTTGACAGCGTTTATAACATATTGTAAAGCAGGTCTGCACAACATACGGCCCGCCATTGTCGTTTTCGTGGCCCTTTATCCGTTGACCAGTTTGGCTCGCGTACGTCAAACTATACATTTTTCAGTAACAAAATTACATTAAGACATTAATTGCCTTTTTCAGGAACTTTTTTTAGGAGCTCGACAGCAGCAATTTTTTTTTTTTAAATACTCGGCCGAAGGACTTGGTTTACACTATTATAAGGTGAGGACCTTTTTGTTTTTTTTTTTAGAATCTACAAGACCACCTCGACCACTATTTTATAAATTGTTAGGCTTGGCACTCGTATACTTACGGTTTTTGAACTGATCCTTTGAAAATCTGAGTTGTGCAGGCCTTTTGTAAAAACTAGTGCAATCAGGGATCTTAGCGATACCTCAATACTATCGAAGTATCGATATTAAACGATGAAAGTATTGATATTTAGGCATCGATACTGAATTACCAATACTGTCGCCGTATCGATACTTAGAAGCGAGTATCATATCGCATAGGCTGGACAGTCCCGATTTTAAAGTACTAGTCTCGCTTTTGCCAGACGAAAAAAATACATACATATATTTCATTTAAGCCGCTTTAAACGACGCACTCCACAAAAGATTCCTTTTGTTTTTCTCGTCAATAAATTGCAAATAGAATTTGTCGAAAAGATGGAGATTTTGTCCCTCTTTCTACTTTTCAAAATATGGTCAGGCTAACCTAGAAAGGGTACCATTAACAATTGCCAACTACAAAATATAATACTTTACTGATGCAAAATTGTTTTACTCGTTCGATACTATGTTACTTGATACTTATAAATATCGATATCTTTAACATAATATCGAACAGTACCGATGTCCCTACCACAAAGTATCTCACATGATACCGGTATCGATACCTTCGACCGATACTCATAACCCCAAGTGCAATCTAGGACTCAGATTTTTTGCTGCTAAATGTTGTCTGTAAATCACACAGTGAATGACCAGTCCCACAGGCAGTTGTCGCTTTAAGTGAGCTATAAAAACACAATAACGACCAATCATAGATGGTGCACCATCAGTCGAAACAGAAACAATGTTCTTCCATAGAATAGCTTTGTCGGTAAAAAAAAACGTTCCACGATCTGAAAAATCCATTCTCCTCTGGTATCAGTCGCTAAATATATTTTTATCTTTAATATATCGAATATTTCCTAATAACAAAGCTTCATTGCAGGGTAATGTAGACTCGTCCAACTGGAGAATCTGTTGGTCTGTAACAAATTGCATAAAAAGTTTTCCACGTCTCGACCCATCTATTCGTCTCTGAACAGTGTTATTGTCCAAAGGAATTCTCTTTATAATATCATGTGCGGGCTTGTGCTATACATTGTAGAGGACCTCCACAATGGCTGGTAAAATAAGCTGCTGTCCAATTGTGTTGGATTTCCCCGATTTCGCTAATAGTAAAGATATATTATAGGACGCTCGTAAACCATCAACGTCTTGCATAGATGATGACGCAAACATCGATCTTATGGATGGCATTTTCTCTAGTTTTTCTTTAAGTGCTTGAAAAAGTGACGAGGGCTTTTTTTGTCAGCATGTACTCTTGCTAAGTGGTCCTCCATCTTTGAAGGCTTCAAAACATCTTTACTGAATACTTTTTCACATATGAGACACATCACACATCGTCAAGGGGTTGGTATCGACCACTTTGGGAATCTCTGTTCTAATGGGACCCAGATTTTATGGACTTAACGTTACCAGTTAATTAGTTAATGGACCTTTAATATTGATTATGAAATCAACTCTTAATAAAAATTTGCATTTTTTGAATTTCATAATTTACATAGATTTCATGTTTGAGAAGGACTAAAACTGAAAAAATCTCGAAAATGGAATGTTCTATAGAGATCAACCAAGATTCCCTTTTTTTGTAACAAATTGCGTGAGGAATAATTATTTATTTCAACTTTTATGAAATATAGAGTGATCAAAAAGTTTTTATTAAAATTGTTTTCTTTGCCCCTGATTCTACGCCAATGGGTCATCGTAATTTATCGAAACGGAGTGTGTTATCTAATAATGACGATTAACGAATATATAGAGATTTTTAAGTTAAAGTCTTTACCGTAAGGAAAGATATTTAGAAAATGATGTATTTATGAAATTCACTTTTTCACCCTGTAGAATGAAAACTGAGACGTTCGCTGGAAAATTATATTTAAATTTTCTTAATAATTAAATAAGATCTACAAATAACCCAGTTCACGGTACTTATTTCTGAAATATCCTGTATATTATGTATTTTTTCTCTCAAAGCGCCGGCCGTATCGAAAGTTTTAAACAGATAAAACATGTGAAGCAAGATTGATCGGGTGTCAATATTTGATTTTTACCCAATTTTGTCGGTTTTTCTGCCCATAGAGTTAAAAAAGCAGTGCGATGGGGTTATTTCTAAAATAGAAATAATTAATCATTTTTATATTTAAATAATACTAGATGTATGTAATACCTATTTCACAAAGTTTAAAATCATCTGAATAATATTTTTTTATGTAATATTTTGTTTCTTAATAACATCCTTTTGTCACTAGTACTCCTTTACTATTTGGACTTTAATGGTTAATACCTCTTAGGGGATAGTTATCTACTGGCAAAGTAATTTTGCTTGGAGGTAAAAAGACTACTTGTTACTTGAGTCGAAGTTCTATGTAATTTCAATCCAGTAACAAACCACATTTCCCTCCACATGTAATTTTCCATTTCTCATCATTTTGCGAAAATTGAGACGATTTCGGATTCGCATATTATGGTATAAATTAATATGTAATAAGTCATAATAACTATTAATACTTACACTAAGTCACACTTTACTACAATGCGGTATCATAACGGCTTAAATTGGAATGATTCGATAGTTTACACAATTGATGAAGGTAATCGGATTTATTTTCGCAAGTTGGATACAGTTGGCTAATTAATGTCAATAAATTTGATAAATTTAGTCGTTTTGTATGTACGAGACATTTCATATGAGACTATATAAACTTTACCGGGAATTTGAGACTACCTCTGGCTGAAATTTTATGAAGTGTCAGGAAGTGTCATCGACAATGATTTAGTTATACCCCCCGGCAAACAAGACGTCAGACGATTCAAAGTTGTAACTTTTTCTTTAGAAAACTTTCTTGACGGACCCGTTTTTTTATTATAGAAAAAATATGAAAATTGAAAAAAAATACCTACTGTTGTTGTTTATTTATTCTAAATACATTTTATTTAATATAATAATATTAATATTATGCTAAATAAATTATTACAGTTATGAAAACTAAAATGTATTTGAAATAAATAAACAATAGTATGTATTTTTAAAATTTTTATATATTTTCCAAAAATAATAAAAAGGGGTTGTTCAGTGCTCTACCAATTATTGTGCTAACACGTCAAAGTAAGTTTTCTAATGAAATATGTGTAATTTTTTAGCCGATATTTTTTACAACTTTGATTTGTCTGATGTCTCGTTTGCTGGGGTTTTAAACTAAATCCTTACAGATGACACTTCCTAGTGGTCCCGTCTACCACTTCACAAAATTCCAGCCGAAAGTACCATTGTACCACCTTGCGGCTGCTAGCTCTTAGACTATATGTATAGAACCTTATTGAGAATCTAGTGAATTCAATTATGTATCGCTGTTGTAGCATGAAGCTCTCATCAAAATTCTAAGTTGTAAGAGCAGTGGCGTAGCCACCGTGGGTTTGGGGGTCAGAACCCCCCCTTCCCAATGGAGGGTCCTCGCGTCACCATTTCCGCTATAGTATTGGCGCTGATCGCTATTGACTGTTTTATTCACTTTCTTCATGGAACCCCCCATAGTCCTCAAAAAACCCCTCCCATGAAAAATGGCTGGCTACGCCACTGTGTAAGAGTGTTTGGTTTCTAACCTGTTACAATTATATAACATGAAAGTGGTGCCATCTAAACTAATCTTCTAACAAATCTAGCGTAAATATTCGGTTGGAAACAGGTCAGTTTCTGTTAGCATTCATATTGGTTTAGTTGTGAGATTTTATTGAATGGTATTTTGACTGTTTTGAAACTGTGCTTTGTTAAAATACGACAAAAGAAAAAGCTGTAAATTATGGACTTCGTTGATAAAAAATAAGAATGGACATCTTATTTTGTATAATAAAGTTGATATTAGTATTAAAATAGTATGATTATGTATAAATACATGTTTCTTGTGTACACTGGCCTTGATAGTTGTTGGGTTAAGAATTTTACTGTTACATAATATGTAACTCTAGGAAATAATGTAAGAATATTCTCTAGATATTTTATATCAATATAGTATGTTTTGTTTTTATTGTAGAGCATTATTTTTAGTAAGCTTTCTTTCAAAGTATACGGAGTGTTTCGAAATAAATTTAAAGATGATGAAATGAACCCTATAGCGCCACCGAATCCGGCTACTGTGACAGATGAGGATTTCGGAGACGAGGAGACATTTTGAAAATTTTAGCAAACATCAGTTACTTGTCGATGCAGAAATTAGAATTGCTGGAGGAATTATACTAGGTGAAGATATTCCTACGCAACAGTCATAATCGAACGACGATAACGTTTATTTGACAAATAATATCAATATGTCCCCTGCTCATATGTTATACCATTAGATTACACAAACCTTAGATGGAACATAAGACACTGCACATAATCCCACTTCGAAATTATTCAAACCCACTAATCACAGTTGAGGACATCACATGTCAGAGCGTTGTTCTTCCAAATTTAATGTGTTAACGAAAATTAATTTAGTATTTTAGTGACTTAAATTTTGGAAATTAACGTTGAAAATGTCAAGATGTGTTGTAAAAAGCTTTATTTATAATAAAAGTGCGAAGTGTGATGGCGATAAAGGAAACTTACATTTATTTCGGTGAGTTATTTAATTTTTAAAGATTCTATCGACGGCCATATTTGTTTATTTGAAAATAAACAGAACCGGACTTGGTCATTGGTACATGTTATAAGTAGCAAATAAAGGTTATTATTATAAAAATCGAAAAATCGAAAAATCGAAAAATCGAAAAATCGAAAAATCGAAAAATCGAAAAATCGAAAAATCGAAAAATCGAAAAATCGAAAAATCGAAAAATCGAAAAATCGAAAAATCGAAAAATCGAAAAATCGAAAAATCGAAAAATCGAAAAATCGAAAAATCGAAAAATCGAAAAATCGAAAAATCGAAAAATCGAAAAATCGAAAAATCGAAAAATCGAAAAATCGAAAAATCGAAAAATCGAAAAATCGAAAAATCGAAAAATCAAAAAATCGAATAATCGAAAAATCGAAAAATAAGAAAAACGAAAAATCCAAAAAACCAAAAATTTAAAAAAAAGCAATGAATAATAGTGACATTTCACATTTGAAAATTTGACATTACGTTTAACAAAAAAAAATAAAAGCTGTTAATTGCGTTTCATTTTTTAAATAATTGAACTCCGTTATTGAAAACTGTTGGGGGTAAAATTTTGACGTACTCCTTTAAGGATAACGGGTAAAAACTTTTTTTTTCAAATTTCCCGTTTGTAATGTCAAAAATCAGATCGGCAACACTACACATGTCCCTTAATTTTATTATTGCTATTGAAAAAAAACGGCTGTTTTGATAACTTTTTGTCTCAACAGCTAAAGTGGTACTTTCTGCTCTTAATACACAAATAGCTATTTTGTTACAATAATTTTTAATGAAGTTTAAAATACTTAACGAAGATTAAAATGGCATCTCTATATCAACAACAAATGAAGTTTAAATTACTAAACGGATATTAAAATGCTATTTTTACATTAACAATATCATTTTAACTTTCGTTTAGTAATTTAAACTTCGTTTAACACTACGGTGGAATCGACCCTTAGCTACTAGCTATATATTGATAAAGTGCTATTGCTCTCATCATAAATGAATCGTGCTAACAAATGAAGTCAAAAAGACGTCTCATAATTTTTCATCTTTTAGTTACCTACCAAAATTAGGTTCTACAATACAAATATTTAAGTCCGGCCCAAAACATCTCCCTACTCCTTCCACCCAGTTTTTCGGTTTTGGCAAAATTCGCGCAGCGGCAAATGCTTCCTATGTTACTTCTACCCTTTCTAACTTATTTGGTTATACCCAAAAGTGTTTCTGACGTCGGAATTGGGTTTCGGGAGATTTCACATATATTTATAACGAGAAGAAATTTACTAAGTCAGATTATTCAGTATTTGACAACAAATCAGTTGTTTATGTATTCGAAATGTTCTAAGATGAAGAAATTCATACTTTAGAAGAGCCATCGTGCAATATATTTAAAAAAATATTCGTCACCTCCCAAAGGCACTGGCAAAACTCCATCTCCATCTAATGCGTAAAGAGTATATTATGATGAAATTAGATATGATAGGATAAAACACCTCGTAGAAAAAGAAGGCGTTATGCTGTAAAAGAATTCAATACGCGTTATGCAGAAAATGTGACGTAGGTCTGTGCATTGATTGTTTTGTTACCTATCACACACAGAGTTTGTAAACAAAATAATTAAATCACTTTCTGTGTTTCATATTTACGAATGTATTTTTTGCACTCAAAAGAGTACCGTTACATATATATGTAAAATCTTATACTCAATGATCTAAAAATTTTATGCCTTTTGATGTTTTTTAATAATATGGCACCCAAAAAATATTAGCGTTACAGTAAAAATTGTGAAAAAATATTCTGGGCACTAATGGGTTAATAAATCTACAACCCATAAGGTTTACATTTACACTGACGACATTAAAACCAAAGAATACTCAGAATGTGAAATTTATACCTGAATCGAAACATAAAATGGGCTTTGGGTATAAAAAAGTAAGCGTATAGCACAGGTTACGAAGTAAGGTCGACCTTCACCCATCTGCTTAATGGATGGAAGGTATTTTTTCTTAAATAAAATATGTTAATAAATATACCGCAAATGGGTTGCCTAAAAAAATACTATTAAGGCTATTTTTTACTTTCCTTTCTATACAGATAAGAAAAGTATAGGAACTATGATAAAAGTTGCTTGTGATGTCATTCTATACAATTTTTGTACTATACATGATTTTTCTAAAATGGACCGTATTCGAGAGATTTAAGAAAAAGTGCAAATTTCGAATTTTGAAGATAACTCAAAGAGGGATAAAGAGAAAAACACCAAATTTTAAACTTAAACTTTAATCCATCCTGCAGTGAGTTGATTAAATTTTGATCGTAGTCGAAGCATCTGGGGGATACTTTATAGGATGTCGTTTTTTTAGGCAACCCATTTGCGGTATATTTATAAGCATGTTTTATCTAATACAAAATATATTTCATCCATGAAGGTCGACTAGTAGGTCAAAACGAAATAGATGGCTTTTAATAGCCGCAAAAGAAACAACCATTGGGTACAAATATTACTTACAAAAATATACCTATATACCTGAACCATTATATCATATACAGGGTGTCAATTTGAAAACTTCCCACCCCTTAATATCTTCCTTCCAGTAAATAATGTAAAGAATCGGAAAAACCCGTCAATTTTATGTTCAAGAAGGGGACTTTCAAATAATATTATAATTATTTATTATAATATTTTTTGCTCTGGTGATTTCACCCCCTAGGAGTGGTACATATTACCCTTAGAATTTTAAATGAGAAGGGAGTCAAGTAACACATTATTTTAAACGCCATCCATGGAGATACAAAAATATTACGTATTGTAAAGTATGTAGTAATTTAACGCGTAGCATAAGATATTTTGATTGATTGCGATTAAAGTTTGTATTTTTAACGTTAAAGATCTACACGATTTTTCATTTATTAAAGTTCATGTTTCAAAAAATTATGTTTTGTTATAATGTGAATTAAATTACAAATAAAATTAGTGTCACCTTTAGCAATACATAACAGTTTTTTATCCCGCTAGAAGGCGCTAAAATCAATATTATTGCTAAATTCACCATAAAATTACTTTTAATTAGATGTGCCCCCTTCCAATTTGGGATTCTAAGGGTAACATAAACCCCTCCTGGGGGGTTGAACCACGAGGGTTAAAATATTAATTGAAAGTGTTCCCCTTGAAAATAAAATCGATGTGTCATTCCGATGTTTCTTATTATTTACTGGAAATTGTGTTTCACTTTAAAGTTGTTCTGTTTTATACCTTTGGACTTTGGAAATGGATATCGTAGTTTTTTTATAAAATTATTTTATTTTATATTCAAACAATTATTATTCCAATAAAGGTGGTAATACTTATCACCGCCTGCAATGTCTATTAAAACATCTTAATAGATTCTCTTTAGAATTATTTTCCTATTAAATCGTAATAAATTAAGTATAAAAAATTAAATTATAATTATTATACAACTATTTGGGCTAACTATTTATATATCAGTCCCATTTTGTTTAAATTGTTGTGCTCATATTTGTATTTTTATCACTCTCTGTTTATTGTATAAAAATAAGTGTATATAATTTTATATACCCAAATAATGTTGCCCTGCTGTAAACCTGTATAAATTCCTGCGTACGTCCAAATCATTTTTGAACTCACCCCTACAATGTCACGTTTCGCGCATGCAATGGTCGATCCAGAAACACCTTCAAAAAACATTCTAAAATTAATATGTCTTGGTAATAATGAAATTTAGTTTATAAAATAAATATACACATAAATAAATATGAAGTAATTTTTATAACACCTTATTTAAAAGAAATGAGTAATCTGGAGCTTCTTCAATAAATTTTTCAAATATATGTCAATTCCAGTATTTTTATTTCTTCCGAAATAAGTGTTCTATCTTCTGAGAAAAGCAATTTGTTTATTAAATTTCATCATGGAGTAGGATTGACCACAATTATTTCGTGCTTAGAAATACTTAGAAAGTCAACAAGCAATTGTTGGGGTTAATCTTTCACTTTTCTTTCTTTGCATAAATTTTGAATAAACTATTTCGTATCTGGCTTTTGATTTCGAAGGGAGTAAATTTTAAATTTTACTACCTGGTAACAAAGGAGTTCGGCAGTAATTGCCTCAAGTGCTTAAAAAAATTTCAGTACAACAGTGCTTCAAGCATAATCTTGCAAGCACTTTTAACTTACAGTGCTTGTTAACTTTATAAAAAGTGCTTGGTAATTGGTATTTTAATTTAGCATTTCAAGCTATTAAAGTGCTTGCAAGTACTAAAAAACTTACAGGTACTAAAAAACTTGCAAGCACAATTACAGCCGTATGCATAGTCGATCGCCAGCGACTCGCCAGAGATTCATTTCGGCGTATCGCCAGCGATTCGCTGGCGATCCGCCGGCGAAAGCCCAAGAAGGTGGCGACTCGCCGGAGATTGTCACCGGAATGTTTTTATTTTCTTTTATAGGGATTATCACCGGTATCTCTCGCATTTTATTCATGATTTATTTCTTAAAACTCAAAAAATAATGAACGAATATCAAATTTT